CCTCAAAAGGATATTGGTAATTATTTAGGCCCCAGGGCTTGGGATGGTAGTAGAGGTGGTTGAGGTTGCTATTATCGGTTTAGGGTTTAGGGTTCAGGGTTCAGGGTTCAGGGTTCAGGGTTGAGGGTTGAGGGTTTAGGGTTTAATTATCATTATTCTTATTGTTTAACATTACTGTTTTATGGTGATTGTTACCGCTTGTGTTAGTATTACCATTATTACTAGTACTTGTTACTCTTCCTACTTGTTATTACTGCATCTTGTGTTCCTCACGACCTGTCACTTTAGCACATGTCAACCGCGGCTGTTGCGACTCAGGGGCCCCTTGGAGCTAAAATGAAGCGGGCTTTAGTGCGTGCAATGATCTTCAGTTGAATTGGCACCGGAGCTTGGACGGTCAGGGCACTTTGAAGGTGCCATGGCTTCTGGGAACATCCAGGCGGCGGAGGAGCGCAACCTGATCCCCGTTTGGGACGGGAAGCCCGAGACTTTCTCGCACTTTGTGACCGAAGTCAAATGGACCTTGACAGCGACTCGCAAGGATGATCGGCCGCTGCTTGCGGCCAAGATCATTCGAAAGGCTTTGCATAGTGGGCAGAGCACTCTGGTGCAGCTGATGTACAAGCTGGAGCCGGAGGACTTTCGGACGGAGGACAGCGTCAGCAAGTTGGTCAAGTACTTGGAAGAGTCCCCTCTGAATCGGCAACCTTTGCCGGACGCTGGCAACAAGATCGGGGGCTACTACAGGAGGCTCCAGCGTCGAAATCAGGAGGCCCTACCGGCATTCCTGATCAGGGAGGACAAGGTCCACGACGACATGCTCAAGGCCCTTCAGCGACTACTTCGCGAACGAGATCTGGCCTTTGATGGCTACGAGACGACCGTGGACGAACTTAAGGCCTTCTGTGGTATGGGGCCAGACGAGTCCCTGTACTTCGGTCCTGAGGCGGATATGGACGCTGATGCGGCAGCGGCCGAGGACGACCAGGAGGACGACTCGGCGACCACGCTTCCTGGGCAGCCGGCTTCGAGAGCCTCGAGCGCTTCCAGGACTTCACGGAGAGGGGCACGATCCTCGACAACGTCGTCGGGCAAGGACAAGGTCACGGAGGTTCCCAAGGCAAGGGGCAAGGATCTGCTCCAGAGGTTGATGGAGAAAGGGCTTATGCCCCTCAGCGCACTGGATGTGATCAGGGGCTGGATGGTGCTCGAGATGAGCACGGCTTCTGAAGAGGAGCGTCGGATTGTGAAGGCGGCAACCCGCAACCGCCTTGGATATGCAGAAGTTCGGCAGGCCCTCTTGGCAATGTACGAGGACCGGGGCGGCAAGCATGGCAGGCCCTTTGCACAGGCCAAAGGCGGCAAGGGCACCTACTTCGGCGAGATGGACGACGAGTACCACGACGACTCCGCCGAGTACCCGGACGCCGCCTACCTCCACTACCAGAGCGCCTGGTCCGAACCTGAGGCACAAGGAGAATGGTATGACCCTGGCCATTGGGGTTATTACCAAGAACCCGAGCCCAATGCAGAATGGCAAGAGTGGCCTCCAGACGAGGAAGTTGGCGAAGCGCCGTCGGACGAGGTGTTCGCCAGCCTCAAGCAGAAGGACTTCGAGGACCAGAAGAAGGAGCTGGAGGCGATGATTGCCGAGAACGACGGCAACCTTGCTGAAGCAAGACGGGCCGTGGCTGCTGCGGCACGAGACCGCGGCTGGGGCAATGTACAACAGCGACAGCCCAAGCCAACCTCGGCTTACATGACGAGCAAGGGCGGCGGCAAGGCCAAGGGCCCACACCACAAGGGCAAGAAGGGCGCAAAGATGCTGGAGGAGGCCAATTGGGTCAACTACTCCGGCAAGAAGGGCAAGCAGTTTTCCAAGAGCCAGGCCAAGGGTCCGAAGGGACCACCGTGGAGCGCCTACCATGTGGAGGCCGGCATCGAGTTCTTCGCCACTTCCGAGCACGAGGCCAGGTCTGAGGGCAGTGCTTTGGCGGCTTCTGAGGGCTTGATAGATACCGGGGCCACAGCGACGGCCGGAGGCCAGGATGCTGTGAACAAGCTTTGTGCAGCCGTAGCCGCCGCAAGACCTGACACCAAGATTGTGATCCATGAGCGCGAGAGACCATACTTTCGGTGCGGCAGTGGGAAGTGGGGAAGGGCTCTTTTCAAGGTGGATTTGGTTCGTGGCAACGTTGTGTTCAGCATCTTCGCTTTACCTAGTGAAGGGGTACCAGTGTTGGTTGGCATGCGTGAGCTCAAGTCCTTGGATGCCTTTATAGGTTGTGCTCGGGGAAGATGCTTGGTGGATGGGCGCATGGTGCAGCTTAGGAAGACCCCAAAAGGACACTTGGTCATGGACGTAGCAGAGCATGTCTTCAGCCACAACAAGCCCACAGCAAGTGACATCGTCAGATACAAGGCAGCAAGCGAGCCACCAACTAGGCCTCCAACGACTTCGGCAAGTACGTACCGACAGCAGGCAGCCAAAACAACATACAAGTGGGTCCCCAAGAACCAGACCTCCGCATCACGAACCGTTCGATTTGCAGCGCCTGAAGCCACACGGCGCAGCTACATGTTAGAACTCCAGACGGAAGAGCGCTCGGAGATGGAAGCAGTTGAGCAAGCGTTTGTGCAGTGGAGTGTCGACAGCCGAGACCTGCGAACACAGTCTGACTTTCTAGGCCTGTCGACCGATGAGCTGCGCTATGTCTTTGGCTCAGGCGACATGTTAGAGCAAACCTGCCCTTCAGCACCACTTTCAATTCGAGACTCCGACCATGGCGGCCTCCGACATGAAGGCAGCGATCCGGGAAGCCGTTCGAGAAGCCGTGGCGGAGGAGATGAAGCAAGCGCGCCCGGCCAAGGGCAAGGGGCGCAGCCGTGGAAGCGGGGAGAAGACAGAGTTCGACTACACTCGCCAGCAAGGCCCGGATACCCGGGACCCCCGCTACAAGCAGGAGGCCTGGCCATGCCAGGGGCGTCACCGCTACACCTCCGGAGCGAACCGATACGGCCGCTGGACGGAGTGCGCCACTTACGGTCATCGTCAGTCCTACACCCCAGCCAAAGGGGCATCGGGGGAAAGCGCCTGGACAAATCTTCCCCAGAATGTGGTGAAGGCTCTCGAGCGTCTTCGCATGGCTGGTTGGGAGCCCGAAACGCTGGCGGCCAAGGACGTGAAGAACATGATCGACATAGTGGCGAAAGAAAAGCGCCTCCTCACTGGCAAGGACAAGACGAACCCCAAGAAGGCGACAGCGGAAGCGAAGACAGCAGCCAAAGGAAAGACCAACCTCGAGACGGTCTTGGTGGACCAGCCGGCGGACGAGATGGAGGGCTACGAGAAGGTAGAGCCACCGCAGGAGAACGACGTCGAGCTGGTGACGGCCAAGCGGAAGTGATGGAGGCGAGGGTGTCCGAGATGGACACCACCGAGGCGAGGGGCCAAGACAACGAGGTGCAGGACATGGACTTCGTGGAACCATGGAAGCAAGAGGACGAGCCCCTGCCAGCCTCCACGGCACAAAGACTGCGTCGAATGAATTCGACATGGCGGCCATTTTGGACGCTTTGCAACCCTTGCGCGCCTGGGAGGTCACAGGCAGGACTGATGGCAATTTTGGAAAGGCATGTGGACACCGCGGTTTGGTGGTCCACAACAAGACGATCGGGGCCGGCTATGACCTCATGAAGTCGGCCGATGTCGAGAAGATGCTCTTGGAGATTGAGGAGCAAGCGCCTTGGAAGACATGGTTCTCTCCAGCATGTGTTCTTCCTGCCACCGAACCTGCTTCCCCGGCCGCTGTGCGCGAGAAGCAGATGAAGGCAAAGTACCAGTTGGACAACGTGAGCCGCCTGACGGAGGGCATCCTGAAGGGCGGGGGCCATCGGCATGTGTACTTGGAGATGCCTTCGACCTCTACCTCGTGGGGAACAGCGGCGGCCAGGAAGTTCAAGACACTGCTTGGACAGCATGGGTCCATGTTCCGAACTTTGATTGACGGCTGCATGGTTGGGATGAGCTCTGGAACCGGGATACCAATCAAGAAGCAGTTCACGGTGATCCACAATGACCGGGAGTTCCACGAGAAGATGCACGTGGTGTGCGACCGTTCACATGGGCATTGGGAGCTGGAGCGCCTGGATCCCCACACCGAGATGTTCGTCAACCATGCCGTGTACCCGGAGAGGATGACTGAGAACGTGGCAAGGCTCTGGAAGAGCCAATACATGAAGTACATGGCGCCCCGGAAGTGATCGCCGCGGCCCAGCAGATCGAGAACGACGCCGACTTGAACCTCGACGTGCCGGACGAGAGCGAGGTGACAGAGGAGATGCGAGAACAAGGTCGAGCTTTGCTGACCAAGTTGCATAAGGCCGCCGGGCGCCCCATCGAACCGAGCTCTGGCCAGGATCTGTCGAGATCGAGGAATGCCACGCTGGGTGGTGAACGAGGCTTTGAACCTGAAGTGCCAGCCCTGTCTGGACACCAAGCGCGGCGGCAACATGGTGGTCCCACACTCTGTGGGAACGAAGCCTCAGCCTTGGCAGATGCTTGGCATGGACGTGTTCGAGCTGGTTTTCCCGCAGAAGCGCAAGGCAAGGTACCTCCTCGCGATCTGCTTGGTTGGTGGAGATGCTCTGGGAGGGGCCCATGAATGAATCGGGCACCGACCCTGGGCGACACCTGCTTGAGACCTTCGCGGGCTCCTGGCTCCAACATCGGCCGAAGCCAGAGTGGATTGTGACGGATCCCCAGTCGTCGTTGGCAAAGGGCGACTTCGCGGAGTGGCATCCGGATGCGGCCTCTCCACTACGCCTGGTGAGGCTCACTGGCAGAATGGAGCGGTCGAGACTGCGGTCAAGTCGGTGAAGCAGACTATGCGCAGGCTGAGGAAACACGGAGCTCCCCGCTCGACTTTGTGGGCACCTGGCGGCTTCAGCGCACAACCAGACGGAGGTCGTCAAAGGCTTCTCGCCAATACAATGGGCATTTGGTTCCAACCCAGCTGCTTGGAGGCAGGATGCGGACCCGCTGGAGGTGAACAAGAACCGGGACGAACGACCGGAAAGTTTCTGGCAACAGCAAAGGTGGCGCGCACGGGCCGAGGAGATCCACAAGCAGGAGCTCGCCCGCGAGACGTTCACCCGTTTGCATAACGCTGCACCCCGACCTGTCGTGGACTACCAGCCTGGCGACTGGGTGTGCGTCTGGAGGAATGAGAGGACCGACAACTGTCAATCCGGAGGCCCGTTTTATCGGACCCGGCAGGGTGGCGATGCTTGAGCCACCGGTGCTGCCAGATGGACGTGTCTCGGTGGTCTGGGTCCTGATGGGCACAAAACTGTGGCGATGCGCCCCAGAACAGCTAAGGATGGCCAGTGAGCAGGAGGTGATCACCGAGTTGATGGCGAAGGGCAACATTGTCATCCGACCGGTGCAGGACATCATGAAAGGGCTGAAGCGCTTCATGGACGTCATTAAGGAACCCTTCTCCACCGAGTACGAGTACGAGGACGCTTTGCCTGAAGAGCCTGCCCCTGGTGGTGCGCCTGAACCTCAACCTGGACTCTCGGAAGCACAACCTGCGCACGAGTGGGGGGACTCGCTCCAGGACGCGACGGACGCTTGGTCAGAGCGGCTTGCAGCGAGAGACCAGGCGGACCAGGCTTCGAGGAGAAGAACGTCGAGGAGCAGGTCAGCCGAGCGAGCGCCGAGCGCCAGCGAGGACCACCGTGCAGGAGCAGATTACGAAGTGGCAGCAAATGGCGTCAGCCAATGCGGCTCGGCGCTTGGAAGGCCTTCCCAGACTGCAACGGATGCCCGAAAGCATTCAGCAAGGCGAGACCCGGACACGTGGGAGCTCGACACCGAGAACCGCATGCTGATCCGGCACCGCAACTCTTGGAGAAGTCGGATGTTCGTGCCGACCTCTCTGGCTTCCTGCCCTGTGCCGGCGGACCAGTTCACCGGCAAGCGAGTCACGAAGTGGTTGGATCCTCGAGGAGGTGTTGGAAGCCTCGTCGACAAATGGATCAGCGCAAGGACGCCAGCCGACAGAATTCCCATGAAGAAATGGAAAGGAAGCGCCCATGTCGAGTACAAGAAGGGCTACGACGTTCTGGCGCCCAATCGCAAGGAGTTCGAGGAACCGCCGGAGCCGACCACGAAGAAGAAGCGAGCGACAAGCGAGCCAAAAGAAAGGCGGGGCCGAGACGAACCAGAATCATCGACTTCTTCGACTCCATCCGCGACACCTGGGGCGACTACCTCACAACGAGCAGCAGTAGCAGCTGATCTAAGAGACAGACCAGAATCAGCGATTTCTTCAACTCCATCCGCGACACCTGGGGCCTCTAGTAATTTTAGACCAGAAGTGTTTAGCTTGACCGAAGCAGACAAGTCGGCCAACCTTGACGACGAGACCATCATGCTGGTGAAGAAGCGCATAGAACAGCTCCAGAATGCCACGGACCAGGGCATCAAGCTGAACAGCCTCCGATTGGAAACACACCGACTGCGCCAAGAAGAGAAGGACCTCATCAAGGCGATTCGCCGAGCTTGCGAGAATCAAGAGGAGGCGATGGTCATAGAGTTCGACGTGGACGACTTGCAGACTTGCAGGCGTTTGTGGCCTCAGGGGCGACCTACGCCAAGAACAAGATGGCAAGCAACAAGGAGGTCAACTACCGGAAGCTTGGTCGTGCAGACCGCAAACGAATGGACGAGGCCATGGCGAGAGAGATCTCGGAAGTGCTGAGGTCACAAGCACTAAAGGCGGCTTCAGAAGGGCTGTCGGAGGAGGAAGTCAAGGATCGCATTATACCAATGCGGTGGATCCTGACATGGAAACCGGTCCCAGATGGACAACCGCCAACGAGTTCCGAGAACGAGGTCAGCAGCGCCGACGGCAAGTCCAAGGCAAAAGCACGTGTGGTGCTCATTGGGTACAAGCACCCAGACCTGGCGAGGAGGAATACAAGAACCGGCAGCCCGAACATCTCACCGCCTCACCGACTTTGAGCCGACTTGGCCGGAACATGCTGCTTCAAGCAGCAGCTTTCGACAAGCACACCATTGAGTGCGCGGATGCCAAATCGGCATTCTTACAAGCCGACCAAGGAATCGGCGCCGACCAGCTGTTCACCCGGGGAGTTCCCGAGCTGGCGATGGCGTTGGGACTGACCCCAGGAGCTTTGATGGAGGTGGTTGGTGCTGTCTATGGACTTACCAATGCACCACGGATCTTCTGGCTGGACGTGGATGCCAAGATGAGATCCCTGGGCGGACGACCGCACGACATCGACAGATGTCTTTGGATATTCAAGAACCGGTTCGGCAAGGTCATCGGCCGAGTCGGCGCCCACGTGGACGACTTTATCATCAGTGGCGACCATGGTGATGCTGAGTTCATGGCCCTGCGAGAAAAGATCCGAGGCATGTACTCGTGGTCCCCATGGAGAACCGGAAGCTTCACTTTTGCAGGCTTGGAAATCCGGCAGATGAAGAACTTTGAGATCCGGGTGACCCAGGAGACCTACTGCAACACTCTGGTACCCATCGAGATCGGCAACGACAAGTCCCGTGGCGACAGCACACCGCTGACCCCGAAGGAGATTTCGCAGTACAGAGGCCTCATCATGAAGGCCCAGTGGCGGGCAGTCCAAACTGCTTTCCAGTACTCGGCTCGAGTTGGGATCGCAGCATCAGCGGTCAACCAGGCCACGCTGAGCAACCTTCGTGAGGCAAACAGCCTCATGAAAGAGCTGAGGACGACCGCGAAGGAGGACCTGGTCTTCCACTCCTTTAACTACAACCGGGAGACGGACCTGACCTGAGATCAGATCGTCGCCGTCCACTTTGAAAAACGCGGGCCATAATAATAGGCCCGATGATGGGGCTACCGGCGGCTACATCACTGGCTTCGCAGACCCCGACATCCTCCAGGGCAAGGAGGCGAAGATGAGTGCCATGGACTGGCGATCCTGGAAACTGGATAGGCCGGTCAAAGGAACGAATGGTTCCGAATGCCAAGGCGTCTACGAGGCCGAGGACAAGGGGTGGAAATGCAGACCTTTCTGGGCCCTGATCAACGGCCAAGAGTTGACACGCACCAACGCCAAGGCGCTGGCGTCCAAGATGGAGTCGTTGCTGGTAACGGACAGCAGAGGGCTCTACGATGCCATTTCTTCGTCAGACTCACCGTTGCTTGGAATGAGCAACTCACGAACTGGCGTGGAGGCAAGCGCCATTCAAAAGGGCGTGCGAGAAGATGGCAAGTGCTATCTCACCTGGGTTCCCTCCGACATGAACCTGGCAGACTGCTTGACGAAGCCTCCGGTTCAAATCGTGTTTTTGTTTGGGTGGGGTAGTTTTTCGATT